AAGAACACAGTCAGCACATATCTCGATCTCATCTCACAGACAAATTACCTTGCTACAGTCCTATTAGAAAAGCATCCGTCACTACTGCCCTTTCCTCTTCAGATCCAGGACTCTACAGAGAATGTCATTCCACACACCAACTGCTTTCATACCCTGGTTCTTACCTGTTCTTCTTAAGCATCCCTGTCACCTATGCAATCCCTCCAACATTCAATTAGTCAAAAAATTGAGGGATGGATAATGCATCAATTATACCCTGGCTTTTCAACCCCAGCAATTTCAGTAAAAATCCTCCCAGCCTGGCTCCTCTCCCCAGATTACAGTCTGCAGCCATTAAATAACTGATTATGGGGCAACCATTATTCGGCGATTATCGTAAGCAATCAACATCTGTAAATGGTAAAGACTGCAGGCATACCTGACGGTTTCAAATCCTATGGATTTACAGAATCAGTGCCTTTTCAAAAGACAGGGAGAAATACAGCCTTCATGAAAAAACACCCATAAATTTAACTACAAAGAAAAAGTAACTTGAATTACTGCTGGAACAAACGTATTGCTAAGTTTAGGATTGACTATAAACTTACATTTTATGGTCTTTGAAGAAATTTGCTATTCTTAATATTTTAAAGAAAAAAGTACACAATTGTTATCAGCTGCTAATCTTACAAAGAATAATCCTGTCTAACCACACAAAACATTTCAACAGTTTTTTTGTTTTAAATCATCAACTAAGGAGTCCTAAACTCTAATACTCTGTAGTGGCTGTGAGGCCACAGTAAGACCAATTTTGCCTTTATTGGAGAAGAACTTCACCTACTTGCAGGAATACTTCAGTCTCTCTTTTATATTCAGTAAAACACATAGTGAATATTTTATCAAATATTAAGCAAAATACATATTCTTTAGTACTTTCCATGTTGTCTTCCCTTGGTTAAGGTAGTCTTGTCAGTCAAGCAAGTGCAATTAAACTTCACGTTGTACTCTACTGAACAAGCTTATATTTGTCAAGCATGAAATTTATATGCTGTATTCTGATCAGCAACCCAACGAAAAAAGATCAATATTGGTGCTGCAGCAAGATCAAAAGGTACAGACAATAACTTGGAGACTCTGATTCCGATTGTCTACTTCTAGACCCCTGGGTGTTTCAGTAAAAAGCATGATCCGAGACAAACTATTTCAGACAAAAATACAGACACAAGGAGAGGACTGACCATTGCAACATGTAAGACGGGACCTGCAGAGAAGAGACCTAAATCCTGATCCACCTTGTACTCTCCTTGTACAACGCAAAGGAAAGGCCAGGTACAGGAATGGGACAATCACTCAACTCTGTTTTCAAGTTATTAAAAACTCCAGAACACTTTTTTTTTTAAGGTTTCCATGGTAGCATTCTTCCACTATGCCTTCATTCTGCAAGACACTGTCCTAGGAGGATGACCATGATCACACAGAAACAAAATGCAAATAACATGAATCCTAAGACTTAAACACATGAGTTTCCAGTTTAACTAGAAGCATTTGAGGATTAGAAAGCTCCAGGGAGAAATATCTCCTCTTTAATCTTGCTTTTTGTTTATTTTTAACTTGTAACTTTACAGCATCCTCTAAGCTCCATGGGAACCAAGGCCTATAATACATTTGCTTCCATTGTATTTTCTGGAGCAAAATCTTTAATTTCTTTTCTTTCAAGTCACCATAAAATTCAGTCACCTTATCTTATTGCACTTTTGCTCTTGGAAGCAGAGGTAAAAGAAACACTTAATTGCAACTTAAGTAGTTGCTGAATTTTAGTAGTAATACCTGAGTAGTTAATGCTGTCTTACTAACTGATGAAGTTTCCCCAAGGGAAGCACTGCCTGAATGCAAGAGGCTCTGAGAAGACTTTTTTTTTAATTCATCCCAGGCAGATGACAGTATAACACAGTGTAAGGTTGTGTACATAAAGATACTTCTTACATCTTTCCCCTCCATGAATGGCAATAAACAAGCAGCAAATGGCACAAAAATACCTGTATGTGGCAAGGTATGATATAGAGGCCGTGATCAGCATGTCCCACAGCTTTGTTATGCAAGCCTGTCTGCATGTTCAGCTATGAGCGAAGTAATTTAAGGTGTTCTATGTCTAGAAAGCATTAGGATGGCATCTGAGAGTATGTATCACAAAACAACTAATATATTAATGCATATATTTCCAATAGTTGTAATTTTTTTCTGGCGTATTTTGAGGCTGCTGAATTTTTATTTTGCCATTCTTTCAAGGGAAACAAACCAGCTATCAAATCTACTCCCATGTGAGATGACCATACATCAACTGTAACAACACTTCAAATGGGCACTGTTCAATGACTTTAAAAAGAGAGAAAAGTTTTTAAATTGCAAAGCATCCCATCCTTAGAAACAGAAAGAAGGCAAGATGAATGCACAGAAAGCCAATGTATCAAAACACCCCAACCTCTGCTTTGATACGTGACAACATACAATACAAACAGTGAAAACACATTAACTACTAAGAAGTCAAGTTATTGTTAAAGTCAACAATTAAAAATTACGTCATTTATTGCTGAAGAGGTTTTAAGAAAGGTATACTAAGCAAAGCCGAAAGTTAAGGCAGACCTGTGACAGGAGTGGACAGAAGAAAATGATGACCTCAGAAATTCAAATACTCTAATGAACACTAAGGAAAAGAGACTCTAAATCTGAGCTAGCACCAAAATGTTCATCACTCATAGAGCCAGAACTTGAAAAGCAAGGCTTATCCATAGAAGAATTTGCTGCATAAGAGTCTGAAGGAGTCAGTAGATTTAATTTATTTTAATTCACACATGTGAAACATACGACTATGTTCTTGATACAGAAGTTTTGCAATGCAAAACACGAAAACAAACAAAGCAATTATACCAGCCAACCAGAGCAAAACCAACTTTATTGTGCAAATAACACACTTGCGTAAGTCCCTGCATTTAACTAATGAATTACAGGCATGTAAATAACATAGTTACTATTTTAGCTACACAATGGGCTTACAGGTCACAGTATTACCTAGCCTGCCATTCCACCTTATGTGGCAAGATGAGCTATGCAGCAGGACTGCAGACACTCTCTGTAACAGGTAATGTATACATCAGATTGTGATACAGTTTAAAAAAAATCTAGTTTTGCAAGTAACCATCCATTAATACTATAGAACTACTACTCAAATATGTGAGTCCCTACAGCTTGACTGGGTTAGATCTATTTTAGACAGATACCCAAATCTGCGTAAGTCAAGGCAACTCTGATCATGACTGCACACACAAAAATTCTGCTTTCACACAGAAAAGCTTGCTACTGTACATTATTTTTTTCAGGTCAGTTTTTAGAAGGATAAAATACACACATGAAAACTGTCAAACTGCTAAAAGGAAAAAATAGTTGTACTGCCTCTTCCTTCTGATTTGTCATAGGTCCTTCTGGAGTCTGTTTCACACCAGTCAAAATACTTTGTTCTGATACATCCTTCCTTAACATATGTAAAAAGCAGTAGTGCAACCCACAATATCCAGAGCAGACTACAACCTGATTTCCATTGTTTGGCATGGACAGGGAAACAAAAGGAGCACAACCCAACTTGCTGCAGGAACAATAAAACACAAGCGCAGCAGGGGCTGCTAGTGGAGCAGAAGTGACTGTGGCAGGTTTTTACCCTGCAAGCTGTGACTCTACGTGACAGCCAGTCACCTCTCCAGTCTGGATCCCTGTACTCCTAAGAAAGCAGCTAAACAGCACTCCTGTAACAGAGGGCATCAGAGGGGAGAACACAAATTCATCATTCCAAGAGAAATGCTCCTTCCAGTGAAAAGACTTCACTGCAACGAATTGCTAAACACACACACAGGAAAAGCATTCCTTGTTTCCTTCTCATCATTTTTAAGGTTAGGTATGCACTGCAATGTGGAGGGCCTCACTTCAGCTTTGCTCCTCCCCAGGTTTGGCAGCTACACCAGAGAAGTCCTTGTGCAATTCAAACAATGTCCCTAGCCTGAACATCATCCTGAAACTAGTGTTCAGTCTGCAGCACATAAAATGCTAGACCAGTTGGGGGGAGAATGTGGGGGAGACAGTTTAAGGTGCTAGAAGTTTGTGGCAGAGGAGAAATGAACCCAGTTCTTCTGAAGCCTCAGACAGTACCCTAACTACTGGGATATGCTCCCACTATCATTTTGGAACTAGTGCTGTAAACCAGAAAAACAGACTTTGTGGTTCCCCTATATGAGTTCTATGACAGGACAGCTGGCATAGCTAGAAACGAATCTTTGTTTGCTAACTCACAGAGGAATAAAGACTCAAATAACTTTTTTTCAAATGGTCCTCTCATTCCTGTAACCCTTCTGAATTTGAAACGGACATTTCAGCTTATCACAATCTTGCTTCTAGTCAATCCTGGTTTCTAGGCTAATGAAGACAGACCAAAACAAGGTTCAGCACCTTCGAGCAAGATGTTACATGAATAATGTTTAACGAAAGAAGTTAGCTTTCTATTTCGAGAAGTAACTAGTATATAAATTTGCCAAATGAAGTCAGGCTGCCTTTTTTTTTTCCCCCTTCTTAGTTCAGCAATCCATCTGCCACAACAGATAAGGTAGTATGCTTTAGTACTGAAGTGCCTTCAAACCCATGCAAGATGTTAGTGAAGAGCAGGTAGAAATTACACCCCTACTGTCAAGTCTGAATATAGGCCTGAAGATTTCTAACACTGTATAATGCTACCATCTACTGGTTCACGTTACGTTAAACCTCCGAACTTTCCCTTCAACCCACTCGCCCTCAAAAAAAAAAAAAATCACAGTTTCTACAGAGGCTTAAAATAATTTTTCCATAGCAAATTACTAACTTGAAATTTTCTAAAGTGATTCCACAGTTCTACTCAGCTTTTTTCTTTTTTTTAAAGCAGGTACAAAATAAGTTAAAAACATTTTTAAACAGGATACACCAAACTCATCTACTCATTTACTTACATTCGGCTAGTTTCAATGTTTTCAGAGTGAGGTTCTCCTGGTGATCTGCAAACACAGATACAAAACCTTTAGGATCGTTTGTATTTTAAGTTATTACAATTTGAAAAAGGAATAGGAAAGGTGGAAAGTGATGATAATGTATTATTGCCACTAAAAGCATCAACTCTTATGCACTTGCACATATAATTGGTTTTGACCAACTCTAGAAGACAATTTATAACATAAAACCTGAGAATATAATTAATCCAAATTTCTCTAAGGAGGATAGCACTTTTTCCCCCACAGTTTACACGACAGCAGCCATTAGAGGAAAGTTCTGCTGGCAGTACTTCCATATTCAGGCTGCAAAGTGCATCAGTTCTGGGCTGATCCGTCATAACCACTTCTGTAACCAGAACGTTTACCCTAAGTTTATCAGGGATCAACCGCTACAGAGTCTCTGTACAGCTGGACTCCAAGAAGCAGCAGCTCAGGAGGAGGTCTCAATGCAATCTCAAAACAAGTTTCATGTCTTTCTCTACTTGAATTTATGAACATAATCTCACAGAGCAGAAGTGTTAAAGGCAACTTCCCGTTTCTCCCTTCCAGCCAACAGATCAGCCAGTAATATTCAGAATAAGGTCTTACTGCCTGGCATTTTTGAACACTCAACATCTGTATGGAGGTTGCCAAATCCCTTGACTTAACATACAGAGCAATCTAAGGGATATAGTTCCATAGAAACTTAAACAGGCTACACTACAGCTGTTTAGCTCTTTATTCCCATCATCTTCCTTATGTCAGCACTGATTAAAACCCACTTTTTTTTTTTTTAAGATTTTTTTTTTCCCCTCCCACTGGGACTTGCCACTACCCAGTGAGTTTGTAGCCAGATGAGCCAGGAGACAAGGCAGTACAAACAGCAGTTTTGACTTCAATCACCTTAAGCTGTCTGGAAATCATATCCTGAAGAACCTTATCCAATCTTCACTTGGGTATAGATTCTAGTTCAGTTGACCAGAACTGCCACGCTCTCAGTGCACAAGAAGTGGAAACAGAGCACAGCCACTACAGTAAAACTCTGTAGCTTTACAGAGTTTTGAACAAAAATGTCTTTCATGACAGAGCTTTCCCAGAACAGGAGTGAGCTAAAGTCTGGAAATAGAACTCTCTATGTTTCAACAGTTTGCTAGGAGACTTCAGTTAGCACAGCTAAGCAGCCTTTGCCATAGTTTTACTGGGAAAATCTTTGTTTATATAGTAAAGAAATTCAGCAATTCCATTCCTATGACTATCTATATGATTCTAAAGGCTATTGGAAATATCCACCTGCAGCCTGAAACATTTTCTTTCCCCCTCCCATGTTTCACTGTGCTAGCTTACTAGATGGTCCCACCTATTAAATTCTGGCCTGTTCTCCAAATTCTCCACTAAAATCTTAATTCCTTTACTGAGATACCAGATCTTAGAAACTTTCTGCATTTTACCAAACTACTATATTAACAGACCCAGTGCCTAGAAAGCATTTCTGGCAGACAACTTAAAATTCCTAGGCTAGCTGGATACTATGCAGTGACAGATGATGCAAACACAGGAAGTTATTTGTTTATATTCCACTATGTTATAAAATTTAACTGACACTAGGGACAGAATTATGAACTTACTATTCAACTAACTTGATACTCAGGCTTAAAAAGCAAATAACTGTTAACTGGAAAACAACAAAACTTGACCAATCTCAAAGTTTGGTCTTTATTTATCCCCTCCACACAGTATTTCTCTTACTCAATGAATTTCAGGGCTGATGAGAGAGTTGCTGAGAAAAATAATGCCCAACAGCAAAACAAATCAAAATTTCATTTCCCCAAGGACCAAAACAAGTCACTAAATACTTAGAGAGGAAAAAAAACCCTATTTTTTTTTCCACTTATTGTCCACCTAGGCACTTAAGTGCTAGAAGCTACACAACCTGAGGAGCAGTGGACGGAAGAGTATTTGTAGTCACGCTGGCTATTTCCTCTATTCACATCCAGGACAGACAGCAAAGAGCTTGGAAGTTTGAGGTGGTTGCTATCTTTGTTTAGTCATAGGAAATACAACACAATGCAGCTTTGGGTAAGAGTAGTGCTTTAAATTGCTATGAAAATACAAACGAAATAGTCGTGTTAAAACAAAAACATTAAGATTATTAATCACTGAGACTTTAAAATACACAGCAGTATGAAAAGTTACAGAAAAACTGCAGATTGGCATCTAAACATAGCATATAAAAAAAGGGAGCTGGGTGATTTGAAGCACAGACATGTAAACACAGTTATCAGTATATCCAAAATATTTTCCTATCCTTATCATTTGAGAGAGTTTTATCTGGGCTTTGAACACAGCGCAGTCCACTATTTGCTATTCTGAAAAAGTTTATTCTGTAAGACAAACAATATAAGAGAAGACAATGTTTCAAGAAAGTTCAGAAAAAATAAAACCTAGCTGAGTCAAAAAAGGTTTGGTCCTCTAAGACAACAGGGATCAAATGCCTTCAGCTTATTGTTTTCTAACATGAGCAGACCTACCATAACTATTATTTGCAGAACTATTAATGCACGTATTAACCAGATTTTAAAAGGTTTCAAATGACAATGTAAGCACCAAATCAAGTGAGCTTTCAGTACTTCTGAAAACTATGTGGAAGATAATCTAATTACAGGAACTGTACTTGTTTGTTGAGAAGCTATTTATCCTGCAATACCCAACTGTTTACAAACAAGATACCTTGTTATTCCTCTGAGCAGGCCACAGTACTGAAAAACAACTATATAGTATGGCAAGACGTCCTTTCATCATGCTTAATATCTGAAACAAGAGTTCTGTTCAGAGAAAATCTCAGAGCAAATGCTCTTACAAATTTCAGCTTTGAATTAGATCGCAGCTACTGATCACAAGACACCAACTAATCTGAACACTGCAGTATGAGCTAGCAAATTCAAGTGGTGGCTCACTTCCAACAACACAGGGAGCAACTTCTCCATTCTGCAAGCCACTCCTTAAACTTTTCTGTCCTACAGCAGTACAGTGGAGGTAAAGGTACACAAACCTACAAATTTTAACAACATCAAGCCTCCTGGACAAATACTTAAAAAAATTTTACAAATTCCTTAAACAAGTATACTAAATAATTTATACAGAATTTCAGTATGACAGTAAAAACCACCAGAGACTTTTAAGTGATAGTACTGCTCTTAAGAGCATGACACCACGGAGCACCACAGTGCTCATATTTTAAAAAGCAGGCAGGGACAAGCTAAGTTGCTTTGAAGTCACACTAAGCAAAAGTCAAGCTGACTTTGCCAGCTGACTTAATCTTAAACAAACAATATACCTTCGTACTATTTATAAAACTAATTTCAAGCCATACAAATTAGCTATTTTAAAAATAAACATTATACTAAAATTCATCCTGAGAAACAACACGATATGCTTTATGCTTACCTTTTACAAGCTGTGGCCATTCGGTGACATCAGGGTGATCACAATATTGAGTCACTGATTAAAAACGAGTTGTCACACCAGTCCTGTATCACGCTGGGCTAAGCATAAGCTTAACAACTCTAAATAAGTAAAAATAATTTAGTTATAAGTCCTTTACAAATTATTTCCATCCAGTCCACTAAATAAAAAACAAACCAGAAGAAAAATATTGATGCTAAGCATTGTTTTATCTGTGAGACTAAGACCTACTGTACAAAAATCAGTTCAGTTTGGAATGGCATTCCAAGACTTCTAGAGCAACTCACTACAGTACACTCAACTAGTGAACGTAAAAAGTCATCAACCTGTTTTTAGCCTCTCTAAAAACCAACAAAAGCAAAACCCATCTCTTGGGCCAGTGGAAAGAACCCGACATCAGGGCAACAAGCATTCAAAAATTTGGAAGCGTGCGTGTAAATATGAACTCTTAAGTTTTAACTACAGCAAAAAATCTGTTGTTTCCCTGCTACAACTCAATTAGTACTGGTTCATAACAAGGTTCTGTGTTTCCAGGGAAGCAACATGTAACTTGCACCTTGCTGTGTGCCTGTCCCCAAACCAAAATAAGCTAAAGCTATATAAAAGTTTCAGAGGAGCAACCTTTATCATCTGTGGCCAGTCTTTTAGGTTCTTTGCTCCATTTACACCACATGTACTCTCTCCTCTCCCTTAAATTTTCAAAAGTATATTTTACCTGTCAATTGTTTCCCGTGATCTGGCTCCACTGGTATAAATTGAAGGGTTGGTCCTTTACTTTGTCACGCAGGTGGCAGCCAGTGATCACTCAGCAATACTCGTGCCCAGAGCGCCCTGGGACCACCCCAGCTGATTACTTCCATGGCTGAAAGGGAACCAGTTAGTCTCTTACCTACTGCTATTATCTACTCTAAACTAAAGTTAACTGATAAAATATTTCCAAACATAACCCTCAACACTCAATTTACCCCATTCTCTCTCCCACCCAAGTTCCTAGGTGCAGTGGTCAAAGACTGTAAAGAAAAAAGGCCTCTGATGGACAGTCAGATCACAAACAGCATTATTCACTTTTTTGTTAATATGAAATCTTGATTAAAAATGAAATGTTACAGCTTTATTTAGTAAATAAAAAGTTATCTTACTTTCTCTAAACAGCCAGTAGCTATGAAACTAGACTTCTGCACAACATGTGAGAAGTTCATTCCTGTGGCTCTACCCCAGATGAATCCCCACGTTTGCAGGTTGCCATGCAGCAGAAGCCTCATAAAGAAACAAGGCACACAAAGGCTAGTGAGCTATTGAGGGCACACCCGCAGTTCTCTGCAACACCCACAATCACAACGATCTGGTGCAAATACTAAGAGAGCACATCAGACAGCTTTAGATGTTTCAGTAAAGAAAGCTTTTGTGCTTCAGTCTAGCCTATTACAACAGTATTTCAGTAAGGTCTTAGGTTTGATGAGCAATCAAGCATTCTCGATACTAATTCGTATCTGTTGACTTGTCAAAGACACGCAATCACTGCTCAGTAAGCAAGACGCATGGTTTTCTAAAGTTTGTCAGAAAAGCTGCTGGCTTTTGCCACCCTACTATGATTTGCCATTCTGCTACAAACCCTGCAGTGGAACAAAATTTCCCTTAGTTTCGGAATGATGCTTATTAGTTTTATCTGGTATATGTCCTGAGGTAGGAAAAGTGTCATTTACTTAGATTAACATCAGTAATATTTGAGTCTTCTCATATAAACACAAGTGCAGTGACTTAAGTAAAAAAGAAGCAGGCTACCAAAAGCCTCTGAAACAAAACAAAGGCTTCTCTAGTACCTATGTTTTATAGGTGTAAATTGTCAAAAGTTTAACTGAGTCAATGCCAGGAATACAGTACAATGAATAAAACTCAGTTGGAAAGGTTCTTCACCTGTCAACATTAAATGACAAATAGGGTAAAGATTTTCAAATTCACATTTGCTGACCATCAGCTGTACAGAAAAGCAAACAGCAAAAACCAACATGCTGACACAAACCCAAGAAGCCTCAGAACACTGCTTATGGCATTCTGATTGTTTAAGATCTCACAATATTCACTTTCAGGCAAACCGTAGCTTTAAAAAACATAGATGTCTACTCTAATAGGGCAGTGCTTTCTTCTAAAGTTAAATCTAGATTCTTCCTAAACTGATGTGAAATGGCTCCATAAAAATGCATTTAGAAAATAAAACCTCTTCTAACTCTTTGCCCAAGTAACTTTCAGTAAGCTGGTCAAAGAGGACCGTGGTGTAATCTTTAATGCCTTATTGGTTGGGAAACCCACATTCTATCTGACTGCTGGAAGTATCAGCTCACATTCTGGAGTGTGCCACATCGATCACTCCCTACCTAGATTTGTGTCCTACATCACTCAGACCATGGGTAAAAACTAGTTACAGTAGTCTTCCACTCAAATGGAAGCACATTAGAACAACAGGCTGACAGTAACCTTAGAGACAAGTCATGAACACGACTGTCAGCAGTGAAGGAACACAAAGTATTGGTGCTGGATTCAAAAACCATCAAATTTTGGAATGTTAAGGAATACGTTCTGAAGTGGCACCTCCATTATCATGGCCAAGACAAATTTTTGCCCAGGCCTAACAGAGATCCAATTCCGTTAGTCAGATTTACCACGCCACAGAACACAGTGTCTACAACACCTCTGTGAAGAGAATTAGCATCCAAACTGGCATGCATCTCAACAAGCTGAAGTTAACTCATCTAAATTTTGTAGTGACACTTGTATCTACAAATTGAATTAATGGTGGATCAGAGCTCTGAATCAGGTTGTTGCAGCACTTCCAGTCTGTTAATAGATACCTCAAAACTAGATTTGCTGTACTGGGGTCTAAAAATCCCATGCCACTTTTCAACAAACCAGATGCAAAAAGCCTTAATCCATCATTTTCCCTTCCATCTCCTTCTCATCCTAACTTCCCCACTTATCCTTGCTGCCACTCCTGTGGGACAGAATAGGATTAACAAGGATTCCCCAGTACAGATGAAAGAATTCATTTTTCTAAAACCTTACTCATTCAAGCATCAGCAGAGTACTGTCTGCTGGCAAAGAGACCAGCATGCTCAAACATGGGGTGGTGGGTGGTGAAAGAGACTGCCATCAAAGATCCCTTATTCTGAAACTAGTTTGAACAAAGGACATTTTGACTACTGGATTCAAACAAGGCAGAAAAAACCACAAGTGGTAAGAGAGTCAAAAGACACTACTTGATCAGGAAAGGGAAAACACACTGATGAACAGACTAATAACATCTTGGAAAAGGGCATTATGAAGAAGAAACTGACCTAAACCTACTGTTTTTCTGTCACAGGAACTCCTTAAAAAAAAAAACCAACACAAAAAAAACACCACCAAAACCCAAAACCAACACACCAACAAAACCCTTCTGCAGGTAACTTACCTTCTAGAAGATAGGAACAGCAGCCCCAGAGCACATATTTATTCTTATTACTCAAACAGATTTCTCTGTTTTTCACTGTCATGATTAGCATGGCTTACAGTTCAGGCTTTCACAGACACACAGAGCAGCTGAAGGTGTCACACGGAGTTTGCGTCTGTGAAGTATGTCCGAGAAACCGGAGACAGCTGCTGGGCTCTTTGGGACCGCGCAGGCTCCAGGACAAACACAACTATATCTGCCTAGTGACTCTTAACAAGAGGTAGATTCAACCAGGACTACAACAATCCTTATTATAATTAGCAAGACAATACATAAGATTCATGCCTTCAAACCATGTATCTGAATAACCTTGTGAGGCATGGAGCAGCCCTCATTGAGAAGGAACAGGGTAAGTAATGTTTATGCAGTAGTTTGAGACAACACCCATTTCTCCAAGGTGGCAAAGGAGCAAATTTTCTGAAAAGAACATTCCTATAAACTCAAAAGGAAGGAGGAAATAAATAATAAATGAGTGAAAGAGCAAGAAGTTAGAAATCAAGTTCAGATGCATCAAAAGAGGCTAAAAGCAACTTTGCTGCATAGCCTGATGAGATCTTATCTTTGCATATTTCATGTAATCTTGAAAGTCTGGAATTACAGACACAAGCCAAGAAGAAGCCGGCAGCTTCATGAGGCTTTGAGCAACCTGATCTAGAGAAGGGTGTCCCTGCCCATGGCAGAGGGACTGAACTAGATGGTCTTTAAGGTCCCTTCCAACCCAAACCAGTCTGTGATTCTATGATTTAACACAGAGAATGAAAAGCCACGCCATGGAGAACATTAAGTACCTGTTCGTTAGCAATCAAAAGTAAAGCCAAAAAATTTCCAGCCTCAAAAGACTTAATTGAAAGTTGTCCCTTACATGGATTTCCTGTATTTATTACTTCCCCTGTGTTACCTGAGGTTCACTTTCTGTGACAACAGAGTAGCTGACACCCAATATCTAAAGTCTACCCAACTTTTCTATGATTCTATGGTTTAATGGTGGACTTGTCTGGATTCTGTGGTCTAGGAAGGTCCCCAAGAGGAGGAACACCTCTATTTAACCCATGACTTCTTATTGACCTTACTGAAGGATGCGTGCCCTGGGAGGTGGCATTTGTGAGATTTCAAGTTTCCTTTACAAAAGGATTTTAAGTATCTACCCAAGCAATCTGTGATCCAAGCTTTTTAAAGACTGTCTTTTTGACAGATCATCGAATGAAAACGGGGCTGATTCACCTGTACAAAGTACCACCATGATCCTCCTTACCTTCCAGTGCCAGAATTTGAGTTGCTTAATTAATAATCCTCTCTCACAAGAAGATACCACTAAAGACAGCTTTTGTAGGTTTTCTGAATAATCCCTCTGAATCCCCCAAGACTGAATTTGATATGTTCCCAGAAAGGCTTCGAGTACCATGATGAAACAGTCAGTCACCATCTATAGAGTAGAAGCTGCCCTCAGAACTACCCTAGCTAGCTTACTACTTCAAAAAGGGAACTGACAACTAATAGGCAAGCTGGCCTTTTGCAACTCAAGATTAAGTCAAGTGTCCTGGAGGAAACTGTAGACTATTCACCAAATCCCCAAGTTCAATCTTAAATGTCACTTGCAGGGGGAAAAAAAAAAAAAAAAGTAACAGGCATGTTTGAGACTTAATTTCTTGATAAGGCTGGAAACATCAATTGTTTTTGTTGCCTGCATGCTGCTTCCAATACAGAAAACATAAAAAGACATAAGATTCCAGAAGTTTTCTTTGTACAAATAATAGGAGGTCAAATTATAAATGATCCTGAAGTACCACCAAACAGCCACTAACAAAACCTGACTACATAAATCTTAATAGAGCTGCAAAAACACAGTAAGGCACCTATACACATTTTCTACTGCCTGGGAAACCATTCAACCAGTAACAAATAGAGTATCACATAGTTAGAAGACCAGAATATTTGGATTCTATGCTGCAAAATGTCAGCTGAAAGTGACTAAGGCAGCCCCAACTGCTGAACACACACATGCTCCCAGCATTACAGCTAGAATGACATAGGAGACTCATGAAGGGTTCCTGAAAAGGTGTCAGTTCATCTGCATTTCAGACACGTTCCATACTTGAGCCCAGTTCTCCAATTATTCAATATTCTTCAAAAGTGTCCCAGAAGTAGCAGAAGAGAGCCAAAAAGACAGCAAGAAGCTAGGAGAGTGTGCCTTCTGATTAGGTAATGGAAAGAGTTCAAAGTTAAACTAATCAGTATGGCTACTGGAGGAAACTATATCCTTTCATAGCACAAAAAATACATAAAAAAGATATTCCAATTAAAGGAACACGTTCAGAAAGCCACATGACCAGAAACTGAAGGATGATAAATTCAAATTACAGTAGGAAC